GGCATAGCGGCACGGAAGCGGGCCTCACTAGTGCGGAGGTGCGTGATGAGGTCAGCAACTGTGGAGAAAGCGGACAGGTATGGGAACAGGTAGGGGAGCGAGAGACGGCCTAGCGCAGCAGAGGCAGGTGAGGAGTAGCGTGCAACTACAGCAGTGTACAGTGCCTGCGCAGTTTTGTGCTGGCCAAAGTGCTCGCGCTCATCTACCGGCAGGGAGTTGCGAATAGCGAAGCGAGCGTGGGCGTCACGAGTCTGCCACTGTGAGCGGGCAGTACTTTCAGCAGTAGCAGCAGGGGCAGCAGCAAGTCCTAGTGCGTGATCGTACAGCGAGATATCCTCCTTGGCAGTGAGCTGGAGGAACAGGTGCAAGTCATCTAGCCAGGTGTCAAACTTCAGCGGGCGGCCCTCAGCATCGAAAGCGAGCACAGCAGGGCTAGCCATAGTTGCAGGAAGAGCAGTAGCAGTAGTAGCAGCAGGAACAGCAGTAGCGTCAGTAGCAGTGACAGCAGCAGCGGCGCGGCTCGGTAGGGCGGTGCGGCTCGGGCCGGGCGACGCGGTTCGGTGGGGCGGCTCGGCTCGGCTAGGCGGCTGCTACTCGAGGTGGGGCACGCGAGGGCGTGCAGGGCAGAGCGGGGCCGGTCCGCGCGGGGCACGAAATGGCGGGCTAGCGGGGCGGGGCCTGGTCGCACGGGGCACGCAAGGGCGAGCTAGCGGGGCGGGGCCTGGTCGCACGGGGCACGCAAGGGCGGGCTAGTGGGGCGGGGCCGGTACGCGAGGGGCACGCAAGGGCGCGCGAGTGGGTGTGGGCCGGTCGCTCGGGGCACGCAAGGGCGCGCGGATAGGCGGGGCCGGTTCGTAAGGAGCGCGCACGGGCGCGTGGGGCAGCTGGCGCTCGGGGCCGCACGAGGCACGTAAGGGCGCGCGCGGGGCAGGCTACGCGCGTGGGGCTGCACGGGTCGCACGCGAGGGCATGTGAGGAAGGCGGGGCCGGTCGCACGGGGCACGCTAGGGCGTGCGGGCTAGGCGGGGCCGATCGCGAGAGGCGCGCTAGGGCGCGCGATAGTGAGTGAGACAGGAGGGCGCACGAGGGCGCGACTAGGCGAGGCGCGCTAGGGCGCGACTATGCGGAAACGGTGGGCCCTATCGTTCGGTCCTAGGTTACGACCTAGGCTCTGATACCATGTTAGAAACTTAGAGAGAATGAGAATGATGAACTAGGAAGGGGATGGGAGTACAAGTACCACAGACCTAAAGTAGTGTACCCCCTAGAAGGCTAACCCACTATAGCCTACACAAAGATATGCAAGTATAATGTTTGACAATCACTAGCAGCGCTCGAGTGTTGTCCCACTCTTTCTTGTTGGGCTGTGGATAGTGCTGCATGTGCTGTTGTTCCTTGCGTTGGCGCCCAGGTGATGTCGTTCTGAAGCGACGTGCGTTCTACCGTTGGCGCCATGATTTCCTTGCTACTTTCGCGTAGTTGGCGCGTTAGTCGAGGGGTTCCTCCGTGAGAATGGCGAGTTCAATATGCTCCGCCATTCCGAAAGGCGTCGGCCAACTTATGTGCTAGGCGCAGTTGTGCTGCATGTGCTTACGAGAGAGCACGAGGACAGCGGCTCCTATTACGCTAAGGTGCAAAGTCCCTTTGAGCGAAAAAAAATAAAAGTCGAGTAATGTTAGGTGCGGAAATGCGCGGTCCGAAAGGAAAGTGGCTCTGATAGCCAAGTGTTACGGGTGCAATGTATCGACGTAGCTAGGATTGCACTAAGTTGGCAAATGAGTACAAATGTGAGCGAAGGCCTGAGCGAACATTTATAGCGAAAACAAGCAAACGATTACGCGATGCGTGCGAGCTAGCTAGGCCCGGGCTAGTCCCGAAGCGTAGGCCAACTCGGCCGGTCCAGCAATGCATGGTTTGGCAAATGTGGCGAGCGAAGGCGGAAAAACACCGTTAGCAATAACGCGAAGAAACAGTTGGTCGTGTACGCGATGTTGAGATGCGCGTTAAGGAATGTAAAAAAAATCCTTACACTTAGCAACCCCAAAATGGTAAAAATCCCTAGCACTCAAACCTTGTACGAGGCTGTTCTGTTAGCGAACACATCCAATACTGTACACCCTCGCCTTCCCCACACAGCCAGAAAATATTGCCTTCAGCAATGTCAACATGCCAGCGTGGCAAACAGCATATCGAACGGTGCAGTCCATCCGGGCCCTGGTGAGAGAAAAGCCACCAGGTCCCCCCCTGGTGAATTCGGGTTCCCACCAGGGCCGCAGCGGATGCAGCCTGTGTCGCGACCCTCAGCTGGGAGCTGCACGCGAGAGGGAGTGCCCCGCCCGCATGCAGGTCCCTAGCGAGATATGGGCGGCGGAGTCAGTTGGCGAGATGTCCCCGCGCCGAGCCCCCTCCACGCCAGCGCCACGCAGTGTGGTCACAGGCCCCGGCCCCCCCGGCCCCAGCCGTGGCTCGCGAAACCCCTCGCGAAACCAATCCGAGGGCGAGGCCAATCGGAGCCGGTCCCGAGTGATGTGTGCGTCGGAGAACACTCGCGAATCCCTTCGCACGCCAAAGTAGCCGCGTGCGAAGGGAAATCCGAGCTGGCCGAAACGGATTTGGCCAATCGGAGCCTTTTCCGAGTTATGGCTGCTTCAGAGACACCTCGCGAAACCCTTCGCACGCCAATCCGCGCGTGCGAAGAGAACGCCGAGCGGGCCGAAACGAATTCGGCCAATCGGAGTCGTTTTAGAGGGTCGCTTTCGGGGGGCATTTCGCGAGAACCTTTTTTTCCGCGCGTGCGAAGTGTCGCCAGCACGTGCGACGAAACAGTATCCCCAGTGTACTACATGGAATTCCAAAGCACCCCGCTTAAACGTTGAAAACAATGTGACTGCATTGTAAATCACGGTGAATATACATACACTGCGTGGTTTTTTTTTTTTTTTTGGGCCTGCAAATATAAAGACCATTTTCCTACCGCGATCTAATGTCTGCACTTATCTGGTGTATAAAGTATCTGGTGTATAAAGTTGAAGTGAACAGGTTAGGTGATTTGGATCGTTACCCTTGTTTTCGGCGGACGCGACAAGGAATACACACCGCCCGATGTGGCAACCACCAATTGCATGCAGTTCGCGGCTCGCGTGCTACCTGGCGGGACGGGGTTCCACTCGCTTGCATGACGGGGAACGTCCCCCCTTGGCAGGTCTGAAGCAGATGCGGTTCCCCAAGCACGCGCAGCGTGACCTCGCGGCCCCTTGCCTGTTGCTCGTGCGGGTACCTTCTTGATGCCTGTTGCCCCCCTATTAGGTCCTCGTACAGGGTTTCTCGTGCTCATTTTCCCATTCCCACTTTCGTTCTCCACCTTTTGTCTTCCTGCTAGACCTCTCCGCCTAGATCTCCGTGCGAACAGTTGCCAAGTTTCGTTACGTGGGTTGTCCGCGTTCGCGGTTGTTTTTAGGACGCGTTGTTCCCTAGCGTTTAGTCACGTCCGCGCATCTGTTTAGTGCTCGCGCTACTGCCCCGCCATGGCTCGAGAGTTGAAGGTGCTGTTGAACAGTGGAGTTGAAGGCGCGGTTGAATCGGACGCTTCCTACGCTGCAACTATCTCGATTGCTCGCGCCACCGTGGAGCTCCCCCCTGAGCAGCGGAAGTGCTTCGCCGATGATAAGCATCCGTTCACCGCGACGTGCTTCGATTTCCTCGCCTGGTAAGAGGAGTATCCTGTTTCCCTTTTGTGGACCCGGAAAACCTTTTTATTAGAGGGTCAGATGCTGTCCGCGTTACACATGTCTTCACCGCGAACTTGGAAGCATTAACAAACTCGTTCACTTCGTTCGCGCTTCATGGTCCATTGTTTTTACATTCGCGCACGATTCACATGTGGTTACCGCGGTGAAGGTTGCAAACGTCTGGTGACATCGTTCGCGGTAACATACATGTGGTTATTTTTTATTAGAGGGTCAGATGCTGTCCGCGTTACACATGTCTTCACCGCGAACTTGGAAGCATTAACAAACTCGTTCACTTCGTTCGCGCTTCATGGTCCGTTGTTTTTACATCCGCGCACGATTGACATGTGGTTACCGCGGTGAAGGTTGCAAACATGTCTGGTGACATCGTTCGCGGTAACATACATATGGTTATTTGTAACGCGACCATGTCATCTTGCACTTTGTTGTGCAGCATATGGTTTTACTCGCGTTGATGCGTTATTGTTGTACGCGTTTATGCTCTAGCCCTTCGTTATTCACCTCCCGCGCAGCGTGGTTGTCAGAAAGTGCGTGACTTAGTCGTTGCTGGAGTCGATCAAGGTGGTTCCCTCTCATGTTGTCGCGGACATCGTCGCGGGGGGTGAGACCGCGCACCTGGCATTTGACGGAATGCTTGGATGTAGGCTGGTCGCGTTCTGCATCTGGTCAGAGTGAGTACCCATAACTCGTTTGATAATCGCCTCCATCCCTACTGCATCGGCTCACGCGTTTGTTTCGGGTTGTTTTCTCTGATAGCAGGGACTGTGAAAGATAGAACGAGGAATGAAACAGAGAAGGAAGATTTCACTAGCAACAGTTGGGATACAAATAGGAAACCCTAATTGGGTTGTACTCACTACAGAATACCCCACTGCAGACTAGAGAGCAAACACATTCTGACAGGGACGTGAGTGACAAGAACGCTTCAAACGCGTGCATGCTGCTGCTTTTGCGGCCGGATCACCTGGGGCTGGACGTGACTGCAACATGGAGAACACGGTTTGTCCGCGTCTGTCACCCCACTGGTGCGGCTGAACAGATTTCCGCGATCGACAAGATTGTCAAGTAAGTTTGAGAATCTTGGAGGGGTTCTTGTGTACGTGTGGCTTTTACTTGTACGTGCACTCTACCGTAACTGATCGTTTCACCGCGTAATGATTCAGGTGGTTCCAGGGCCGCGTTTGCGAGTCTTTCGAGCGCGACTCCACCCAGTTTGTACGCTCGGGGCAGTTGGGCGATCTGACGCGTCTCATGGACCTGGTAAGCCATTGTCGTGTTCGCGGATGACATGCCTCGGTTTAACCACTATCGCGTTCATTTGATCTAACCTCACAGCTGCCTTTCCTTGGCTCTCGTGTTTCAGGATATCTCGTCTTGGAAGGCACATTGCGGTCCGCTCGCATGTGGGTACGCGTTTGACCGCATCCTCAACGATTTTGACCCGGTAGTTGGACACGACCCTGCGCCGCGCATCGCCAAGCCCAATCCACGGTCGCTGTCGACATTGCGGCAGGATGCAAAACGCGCCGCAAACGAGCTCGCCTTCAAATCTCGCGTGCATTTGACGCGATGTGGGTCTGCGGACGGGAACGACGGGGAGGGTCACGATCAAGATGGTGTGAGGTCGCGGGATCATGCTGCAAGGTCGCTCGTTTCTGGTCGTGAGGCTCTCGCTATCACTACTGCATATGCGCTCGCGAACGCCGGAGGTGGGGCTGCTAGGTAAGCGCAACAGGAGGGTTCGGACCACAAGGACGAGGGTTCGAGCTCTGACCGCGGCGAGGAGGATGGCCCGGAGAACGCGGTTCAGGGTGAACGTGACGTGACGCAACGGGGGTTACGGTGTGTCAGGGTCGCGGAGAGGAGGACGTTTCTACAGACGATCCTGAGGAGGTCGCGTTGGATAACCAGGGTGGTGAGTTGGTTGTGGAGCCGGACGCGGAAAACGTGGCGGCGGATGAAGTGGACGAGGAGGAGGAGGAGGAGGAGGAGGAGGAGGAGGAGGAGGAGGAGGAGGAGGAGGAGGAGGAGGAGGAGGACGAGGACGAGGGGGGGGAGAACACTGGGGCAGGGGCAGCTGTCTCGCCCGCGACAGCCGGGAAGTCTTTTCGTGCCCTCACTGCTGCACTGTCCCCTCGTGCAGGAAGCGCGGCCCCATCGGGCGAGGCTGCGGGCAAGAGCCCGGTCGCGGGGAAGCGGAAGCACAGCGAGCTCGTCAAGATGAATCTTGGTAAGCTCGCCGAGGAGATTCTGCGCCAGGACGAGCAGGTGCGGACACAGAAGCGGCGTATCGCCAAACTTGAGGCTCGCGTGTCCGCGAAGGGCAGTGGTGATGCAGCCGCGCCGGTGATCGGATCGACTTTCGAGGAGCTCACTGCCACGGTGGAGAAGGTTCTGCGTCACGTGCAGCACACGGAGGCGGTGGTCATCAAGGAGGCAAAGGCGGCCGCGAAGGACAGGGCCGAGAACCGCGATCTCCGAGACGTGCTGAAACGCACTGCTGGTCGCGTGGAAGACTGCGTGGGCACGATGAAGGTGGTTGTCGTGGACTCCATGGAATCCGCCCAGAAGAAGCTGACGGACGAAGTCTCGAGGAAGCTTACGGCTCGTCAACCTCCATTGCCGTCTCCGCCGAACGCGCGATCACGACCAACGGTGTCACCAACGCCCTCAACACCGTCATCGCCATGCTTTCTGGTCGCGCAAATCCGCCCCCCCCCCACAGATGCACCGCAGGAGATGGAGCCGGTCGTGGTCGCGGACAAGGAGACAGGGAAGCGGGCCGCGGTACCGAGGGCTGAAACCAGCAGGGGTGGGAAGCGGCAGAAGGGTCCCGCGATCCCAAGTGTCACGGACATCCTGAAGAGCAAGGGGGGCGCGGTTGCAACGCGTGCAGTGCATCATGCTGCAGCAGGGTCGATCCCGCAGGGAACCAGCGCGGGGGATGCTGATGCGAGACCGACGCCTGCACCCACGGCCGTGGTGGCTGGTTAGGGCAAGGTTAAGGTCGAGGACGCCGCTCCGGTCACCACCAACACCATCACCACTGTCGTGCCCGCGGCAGGCACCTCCAACACCAACACCTCCCATCGCGGTCTCGGAACCGGTGTGACCGCTGCATTCGCGAAAGCGCCTGGACAGCCTGGACCCAGCGCGACCGCACCCGCGGTTCCCCCCGCTGCAGATGTCGCTGTCAAGGGCAAGAATCAGGGCCGCGGAGGTTGTAAGCCGCCTCCTCCCGCGATAAAACCCGACGACGACGACGACGACGACGATTCCGACGCGGACGACGATGTGGAGCTGATCCTGCAAAGGTTCGTTGGGCCGAGCGACACTGGCGGCAATAGCGGCAAGAGAAAGGGCTGTGGTATCCGCCCTCCGCCCAGGGGGGGTGAGGGGATGGTCGGCGAACCGTGGCTGGGGGGGAGACGTAGGTGGCTGGGACATCACTCCCACGTAGAGGTGTAGTACCTCACCGCGGTCGCGATGATGTGTTACGACAAGAGGGTTGACGCCGGGCTTAAGCTGACTCCGCAGCAGTTAAGTGACTGGGCCAAGGACATATCCGTGGCCGGTGAGACGTCCACCGGCCTTTTCACCACCATGCACCTCCGCAACTTGTGCGGGAACGTTGACAGGTACATACGTGATTACCATATCATTCTATGTGACCACGATCATCTCCGTGACCAATCATACTAAACCCGTACATCCATTGATGCAGGTACCACCACATGTTCAAGGCCTACCGCGCACTCACCAGTCCCACATCCAACGTCCCCAACGTGATCGTGTGGGCAGCGGTGGTGGGCAAGGAGGCCGCAGATGAAGAACCGGAGGTCGCGGGCCCTCAGCAGAGCCTTTTTGCCGGTGCGGTCACGTGCGCGATCGCGATGGTGTGGGAGACCTGCAACAATCTCGATGTTGAAGCCATCTCGGATGCTGGTTTTGTGGCGGCGCAGTGTGCAGGCACCCCAGAAGAGAAGGCACGTGGTTACCCCCCCATCGTGCTGGCGGTCTTCAAGAGGGCCAGGAAGAAGAGTGCGCGCGAGGAGACCGCAGGGTTCACGGCGAAGCAGGTCGCGGAGGTCTTAGAGTCGGCGGTCGTGAACAGGCTTGGTGGGCGCCTGGGAGACCCCACCTTGGTCGCTATGGTCGCGCATGAGACGGTCGACGTTCTGATGACATGGTGCGACTGCAAGGTCGCGGCCAAGATGATGGAGGCCAACGGGCTCTACCTCGCCCTGCCTGAGAAGCGTCTGTCCGCGACGAAGAGGTCCGGGTGAATGTGGTACATAGGATGTCCCACAGGCTGTAGCTTTACTCGCGGTGTGAAACACTTGATAGGTGTTGTTGCGTGAGACTGCTGTTGGTGTAGGTAGTTTGTCCACCCTGCTTGAGATTTTTCTCGCGGTGGATATTATGTTTATGTCCTTTACTCCCTTTTGAGTCCAAGTACTTTGGTCGATGTGTTCGCAATGTTCGCTATGCGCGGTCAGAAACATCCTCCTCTCACGGTAGAAGCACACGCGATCAAATTCACTGTGTGTTCCTTACCTCACGCGGCATAACTCTCAAGCTATGAAGTGTATACACACCCAATCTCCAAGTGATTAAGAAAAGACAATTACGCGACCAAACATCAGCGCGGTTTAGGTTGTAACAATTACAAATGGTCGTGAGCAAAACAGCACGTCTGGAGATATCGCGGACACAGAATAGGTACTCATAATATGGCAACGCGAACAGCATTGGGCCCACTCCATTTATTGCAAGTCAGGCATCAATGCACAGTACTGTGGCCACGCGACCGTGAACTCAGACGCGGGAATAGAGGCAGCAATGAGATGGTCGCGAACAAGCATCCATTTCACGCGCAACTGCACCTCCGCCGAAGACCCCTTCTTGAGCTGGGTCAGGTTCAACTCCACACTCTTCTTCTTCAACGCGGTCCCTTCCGACAGTCCCGACATGCCCACAGTCCCCGACACAAGGTCGAGCTTGTCGAGCACTACCGCGATGTCGTCTCCTTGCTCCACCCTGTGCGCGATGAAGTCCATGACTCGCTTGACACGATTTATCGCGTTCTGGCCGCCTCCTTCCCTTCCAATGAGCTCGGCCAATCGCGAACCTGCACCGCGGTTCCCCAGAAGCGATTCAGGACTCTCCAGGATTATCGGATGCGTGGACTTGTACAGCTTCCATCCATCCGACGGTTTGGCCGCTTGGACCCATGGGAGCACGATCGCGTCCCGAATCGTCTCGTCCCTGGTCAGCGGTGCGGGTTTCTTTCGTGTAGTCTGTTCGGTGGGTGTGGTGGCATTGGTGGGCGCGGCCGCGGCTCTGGGATTGATTGCCGGACTCGGATCCGCGGTCGGCGCCGAGCCGTTCACGCTGAGACGCGACAGCTGTGCCTCCAAATCATTCACGCGCTCGTCCTTCGCGACCAGCTTTCTGTCGCGATCGGCCAACTCCCCCTCTAGCTCTGTGACCCGTTTCTGAGTCGCGACCAACTGTAGGCCCAGCCTGGTGTTGTCCGCTTGTGAACGGGTCAGGTACTCCGTGAGGGTGGTCACCTGGTGATGCGCGTCCATTCTAGTGCTGACCTCCTGCATGGACAGAGAGCGCGAGCAAACGTGTGATGGTTGGGCAATGACATATAGCCGAATTACAAACGCGATCATGCAGTACTCACCGCGCCTCTAGTCAGAGTAGGTGTGTTACGCTGTACGATGGCCAGTTGGTTCGCCAATGAAACATCTGCAGCCCACGACGTGAATTCCTTCTTCTGGCATAGCGGGTTCCCGACCACGTACGAGTGTCGCGGCTGGTGAATTTAATACATGGCCAGGTCTTGCGCGACCGCCATCCTAGCCTCGCCGTCCAGCTCCCGCAGTATGTTGAGTCCCGCGGTGTCCTGCTTCTCCGCCTTGTCCTCGCTGACCATTTTCCGGTTGTAATCCATGCACAACGTGGCAAGAAACGCGGCGGAAGAGGGTTATGAGGCATGCTCGCGGTCGTCATTCAGAATGGTGCGCGGCCCAAACGTACCTGTTTCTGTCCTTAATCAGGCGCGGCCCAAGGAAAAATGTGCTCCCGCAGTAGCTTCATCCGCTCCTTGCTCACCGGAACCTTTGCGCGACCCATGTAGTAGTCACCGTCAACCCCTGTGAACCCCGCCTTCAGCAGCACGGCCTCCTTCGGGATCGTGGTGAGGTAGTGCTTAGTCATCACATCTATGAAGCGCCATCCCCCCAGCCTCGCGAGTTGATCCGAAGGCATTCCGTCCGCGGACGCGTGCTGCGCTCCACCCGCCCTGGTCGCGTGGACCACTCGCGAGCATGTGATTCCCGCGTCGTCCAGGATCTTTACCGCCCACGTCGTCCAGGATCTTTCATTACCTGCGCGAAGGGGAAAGAATAGGTACTGGTCGTACCACGTCGAGGATTCAGAGAAGTCGAGAGGGGGGGCTATGTCCTCGTAGAGGACGGGAACCAAGTCGTAAACCCAGTGCAGCCACATTAGCGTAGCCCCGACCGCGCACAGCGTCCAGTCGATGTGCCGCACTGCAGAGATGTAGTTGAGCGAGAAGTCCTTGTTTGTCTTGCCCGTTCTGCACGCGCACACAAACATGAACGCGTCCCTCACTGGATCGGTTTCTGATTTCGCGCCAAGTTTCCACATCATCATGTCTGGCAGCTGTAAGTTTCTGATCGTGCAATCGCGGGCTAGAGTGTGATGACCGAGCACGGTCATCGTCCTGATGCAGAGGTCGCGGTGCATGGCCTGCGTGTACGCGCCTTTGGCAAGGGTGAAGCTGCTCAAGATGGCGATCATACTGGTCTTCCGCATTATGTGCTTGAACTGGTCCGGGGTGTACGTGTCCGCAGCCGTGCCTCGATGGCGATCCATGTGTTCCCTGCGCAACCAGTAACACGTTAGTACGCGTGTTAGTTGACGCGGTTGGGATAGACACGCATGCGGTACAACCCAAATTCATGTGTCGCGTTACTCATACTCACGCTATGAAACGCTTGTACTGGTCGCGGACTTGAACGCAGACCCAAATGCGAGTCTCCGCAAAGTCGCGCAGCAGGTTCAGCACGGGTTTCCGGAAGATGGCCCCATCGAGCTTGATGAGGAGGTTCAACGCCTTGAGACGGCCCATCAGCATTGCAGGGGTGCACTGGCGTCTCTTCTTCAAGGTCTTGTCCGGCCTTTTGAGTGTCGCCATCCTGTCCGCCTGTGCGACCGTCTCGTTCGCGAGAAAGGTCACGTATTTGCGTGGGCGCCACGGATTGGTCTCGGGGCCATGGAACCACTGCTCGTCGCCCTTTGCCCTCTTCCAGCTCCCCCCCATGCTCTGTCCAAGCGCGGCCCCAATCTTGTCGGGGTTCTTGTTCTTCAACGCGGCCTCCTCCCCGAACCTCCCCTCTTCAAGTTTAGGCAACTCGTGTGCCATGAACCTCTTGTACTCGTTGGCCCAACCGCGGTACTTTTTCAGGGTGGCCTCCGAGAGACCGTAGAGGATTCCCATGCACATCTCTCTTTTCGCGTCAGGGGTGTCGTCCACCCCAAGCCTGTTCCAATCCGCGATCGGGACCTCGTTGTCCGTTCGCGTTCCCCACACCCGATCACGGTCTTCCGCCTCTTCCTCATCGAGCGCGTACAACGAGTTGGCTAGGTAGTTTTCGTCATCGTAATTCCACCCGTCGCCACTATCATCGTCGTCATCATCGTCGTCGTCATCCTCATCGCTCGCCCCCTCGCCCCCCTCCCCGGTCCCGTTGCGGGCGGTGTCCGGCACTTGATCGACTCTCCGCCTCCTTATACGCGGCCTATGCACTGGCTGGTTCGCGGTACCTCCGTTCGCGTTACCTACATTCCTCTCCCGCCGTTTCTTGTTCCCCCATGAGGTCTCCCCCCGTGCGCACTACCACCAGCACCTCTCCCGGCGTTCCCTCTCGCACCGGTCCCTCTCCCCGCGTTCCCTCTCCCACCGTTTCCTCTCGCACCGGTCCCTCTCCCCGCGTTCCCTCTTCCCGCGTTCCCTCTCTCACCAGCCCCCCTCCCCGCAGTCCCTCTCGCACCAGTCCCTCTCCCCGCGTTCCCTGCGTGCACCTGGGGTTGCCTACCTCTACCAGTCGCGTTCGCACCAGCTGGTTGCGCGGAGGCGATTGTGCATGCGCGCTTGCATTCATCCCCGCTCCATCAATCTCTGCCCATCGTGAACCATCCGTAACCGCGTTCGATGGTGGGCACGTTGTTCGCGCTTGTGTGTTCACACCGACCACTAATGGATGCGGAGAGTCACTACACAACGGGAGTGGACTACGGAGGAGGGCACGGGGTTGTGCGAGTGATCGTAGCGCTCTAGTAGCGTTCTTACTTCTTGCTTGTGTTCACACAGGAGTTTGGCAAGAATTTCACTAAGGAAAATAACAACTTGCAATGAAAAGTTGAAAGTAGAATTGAGGCATGCAGAATGAAAATGACTAGAAGGGCATGCAACACCTAGCAAGGGCGAAATCTGCCAGCGCAGCAGAAGAGCGGCTTGCCAACGTTGCAGCAGAGTTGTCTGCCAACGTTGCACTGCACGCGGTCTGCCAGCACTGCAGTCGCAGGTGACTATCTGCAGTCACAGGTAACTATCTGCAGTCGCAGGTTGTCTATCTGCGCAGATGTGCGTGTCCGCGTGGCCGCCAAGGACGGCAGCTTGTACTTCTTGCTGCCGAAGGACCACAAGACCCGCTACGTGTGGGTGAGGTCGGTCGCCAAGAAGTCGGATGTGCTGCTGGAGTTCCAGAAGTGGCTGGTGTTGGTGGAGAGGCAGACGAAGAAGTCGGTGCTGATGTTGCGCTCGGACCGAGGAGGGGAGTTCCTCGGGAAGAAGTTCACCGACTTCGTGGACGGACAGGGGATCGTCCACGACCTGACCTGCCCGTACACCCCGCAGCAGAACGGCATGGCGGAGAGGGAGATGCGGACGGTGGTGGAGCCGGCGCGGACGATGCTGCTGCACATGGGCGTGCAGCACCACTGGTGGCACCTCGCTCTGCGGCAGGCCGTCTGGGTCCGCAACTGCCTTGAGAGGTCGACGCTGCCGTCGGGACGACGCCATACCAGCTGCTGACCGGGCAGAAGCCCGACTTGTCGATGGCGCGGGTGTGGGGCTACATGGCGCAGTTCCTTGTCCCCGAGCAGCAGCGTGGTGGGAAGCTGAAGCCGAAGGCCAGGTGGGGCCTTCACTTCGGCGTGTCGACGGAGAGCAAGGGCTGGGAGCTCCTCGACGTCGCCGACAACCGGGTGGTCACCACGTCGGACGTGGTGTTCTACGAGGATATGTCACTGGCGGAGTGGAAGTCGGAGCACGGGCCGGTGTCAGGACGGACGCCGACCACCCCACCGACCGACACCTCGACGGCGACGCTGCCTCTGCTCGCCGAGGTCAGTGAGCTTGCTGCTGCGGACGTCGAGGATGTCCGCCCTCCTTCCCCTCCCACTCCGACCCCTGCCCCTCCGCTCCTGGCCGACCTGCGCGGGATGACCTCGGTGTCGGCCTCCGGCGATGAGGGGAGTAGTGGGACGTCGCCTTCGGCGCCGGCCAAGGGCATCGCCGGTGGCCGACGTGACGAGAGGTGTCGCAGAATTACACTGTCCAGCTTTCATCTACAGGGAGGACAGTATAATACTGAGACCGCAGAAGTTGTAAGCAGATAATATGAGCCGCGGTGTACAGTGAAGCTGGAGCGAGAACAACTTGAGGGCGATATCGAGGAAGTGTACAGGGTGGGCTGTGAATGCGGGGTGGAATGCGGTGTGAAGATGCCCATTGTAAATACGCGTGGTATGTCGGATGTGTATGCATGGTGTGGGAATGTCTCTTTCTCTGTTTGATTGTGTGTTCAGCATCACAGCGAGAAGCTGCAAACGCGGACAAGAGCAGCAACCGCCAGCTGGCTAGTGAAGCAGGTGAGCATGCGGTGGCCAGTACAGCTGGGCACAAGACCCTTGCAACTGCTCATGCAGACACAAACCGCAGGCGGCGTGTACAGAGCCTCGGGCGCCCCCGAGCCTCGCTACAGTGATGGGTGCTTGGTTGGATGTGCTTTCTTGCTGAGCAGCTAGAGCTCCGTGCTAGGCAACATCTTCTTGTACATAGGATTGCCCTAGTGGTTGAAGCTCGCTGCTTCTTTGTTTGTTTCCTGCATTCTGATATTAAATCCTGTTAAACCAATTCAGTCTCAGAGTAGGCGGGAGCCAAACGGAGCATAGGCGGATGGGTTAGTGAGCTTTTTCGACAAACAAAGAAGGTAGGACAGAGCTGCGACGGAAGGGTACGGATGCCGCAGCTTAGATCTGGCAACCGGTACGAACCACCGATCGAGCCTGCACCAATGGCAACCCCGGGGTGGAGAGCTGGAGTAGTCGCAGGGTCAACGAGTGAGGGACGAACCCCTTTGGCGGCGGTAGCGCCAGGAAGGGAACCCTACACTGCGCCGCATCGGAGGCACAGCATGAGCGACCTGCCGAGTGGAGCCCGCGGGCTATCCGAAAATATCACGGACTTACCACTAGTGGAGACCGCCGCGCCAAGGACAACGGCGCTGGTCGACGAGGGACAAGAGACCGGAGTAACCCAGGCGAGTCTGTCGCTCCAGACACGGAGGATGTCGCTGTCCGAACACCACCCCTCCGAAGTTACGCAGGCGCCCGTCCGATACGCGGCGCTACCCAAGATTGAGGTGCCCGAGCGGTTCGCAGGCACAGCAGGCGTGGGAAGCTCGCTCCGGAACTACATGATGCAGATCCGAAACGCCCAGTACCGGTGGCAGAAGGATGGACTGGAGCCAGAAGACTTCTTTCGCGGTCTGTCCAACACGGTGACAGGAGAGGCGGAGACGGCGTATGGCCTGGAACTGGAGCGCTTGCTCAGCGAAGCGGGTCAGACGAGGGGAATTACATGGGAGGTGGTGCCGGAGTTCTTCGAGGTGCTGCGCCGACACTTCCCGGTGCAGACGCCGCAACGCATGCGAGAGTTCTCTGATTTTCGTCGCAGAGAGGGAGAATCGCTGCTGGCGTGCTACGGTAGGCTGCGGGAGCTGGCGTCTGACATGGAGTGCCGCAATGAAAGGAGACTGGTCACCAAGTTCCTCACTAGCCTGAGCAAGGACCTGGCAAGGGAAGTGGGGGGGAGGATCTTCGAAATGGGATCGGAGGCCACGCTGGAGCTAGCTTATGAGCTCGCCAAGAAGCACGAGTTGGGGATGCGCCTGTACGAAATGGAGAAGGGAGACGCGCACGGAGAGGAGCGCCGACGTCCGGCCTGGTTGGCAACGCCGATGGGAGAACAGCCGCCACGTAAGGGAGACAGAGAGGCAGAGACACGACGCTGCCATCGATGCGGGCAAGAGGGACATCTGCAGCGAGATTGCGCCTGGCCTCCCACTTGTGACCACTGCCGTAAAGAAGGACATCTCCGCCGAGACTGCCCAGAAGTACCGGTGTGTGAAAATTGTAACCGCCGCGGACATCGCACGCAAGACTGCTACAGCCGCAGACCTGGTTCGGCCGGACCCAGGAGCAAGGAAGAGCTAGAAGTCCAGCTGAGGCAGTTGCAAGCTCGGATAAAAGAGATGGAGGGAGGAGCGCGCAAAGAGGCGGCGTTGTTGGCTAAGGAAGAGGAGGGTAGCGACGGCAGCGAGGCGGAGTTCGTGCTCATGGTGCGACTACCAAGGCAGAGGGACGAGATCCAGCTAAGGAGTGATGGATGCAGAAAGCCGGAACCGGCGGTGAAGGAGCCACGGAAGTTTCGAGGGTATGCGGCGGAACCAGAGCAAGAGCTGTCGGCGGAACGCCACCCCAAGGAAAGGATGGTATGTCAACCGGCCGTGTTGATGATAGAGAAAGGGGGGATCACCGTGGGGGGAGTGGCGGTCTCGCAAGCAATCATCGACACCGGTGCGCACCACATACTGCAGGGGAAAGGACTGGCGCAGCAACTGGAGCTGGATCTCCCCAATCGGCTGAACGACCGCGGCATACTGGTGATGACGACGGAAGGGGGCACACCCAAGTGGATGCCCTGCACAAGGCAGCCGGTGGAGGTGATCTTGAGGCCGGGGACGAAGAGCGAATGCCGAGTACGAGTGAAGTGCGTGGTGACGCCGTCAGAAGACTACGACCTGCTGATAGGCATGGAACTCCTGTACCGCATCGGCGCGACAATATGTCCATGGCAGGAAAAGGTGCTCTACCGAGCCCAGTACTGGAGGAACGACAGCCCAGTGGGCACGCTGCCCGTGCACTTCGTGAAGCGAGAGCCGCGGGAAGCCTTCCAAGCAAGGCTGGCCGAAATGAGTGAGCAGCTGGAGGACTGGAGCTGGAAGCAGTACATTCTGGAAAGGGAGACGAGGAAGGCGGAAGAAGAGCAGGGACCGCGCCCGCTAGCACTACCCCCGCGGCTGACCGACCTCGACCGGCTGCAAGAACCTTTGACCGTGGTGGAACTGTTCGGAGGGATCGGGACCAGACTGGCGGCGGCCTTGAAGGCTGGATGCAAGGTGAAGAAATGGGTGCTGGTGGAAGTCGACCCCGTGGTCAGACGCATGGCCATGCATCACCTCAGGAGACTCAAGGGCCAGTATCCGAGCCAGCTAATGTCAGGGGTGGAAACCGAGGCCGAGGAGGACGTGGTGAACGACATCCGCGCGGTATCGGAGCACGACGTGCAGCGATGGGGCAAGGTGGATCTGTTGGTCGCAGGATGGGAATGTCAAGGGGTTTCCCGGGCAGGAAAAGGGCTGGGACTGGAGGACCCCCGATCGATGCTGTTCAGCGAGCTTCTCAGGGTCATGAAATTGGTATACCAGCAACACGGGGAGTACCTGTACATCCTGGAGAATCCTGATTTCTCGACGGACTGCAGGGAGCCAGTGAGGAGGATGCTGGAGGTAGTGGCAGCAGAGCTGGGGGCAGGAGTCGCATAAGACGCAGTGCAGCAGGGATCCTACTCCCACAGGGTGCGCCGTTATTGGCAGAATGGGATCTCAGAGGGAAAGCTCAGGAGCGAGCTCATTCAAACGGAGCGACCATCACCTCGCCTGGTGGAAGAGATTCTGGAACCCCACAGGACACCAGCACCCGTGCTGAAGCCGGATCACCCCAGTCAGTTTCAGTGCAACCAGCCTGGCCTCCCGAGGGAAGCCTGGCCCACGCTGGTGGCGCACCACCAGGCGCATG